TTTAGGGTTTAGGGTTTAGCTTATTTTGGAAACCTTATTATAAGGATCCTACTATTTAGGGTACTATATTGGGGTCCCCCATTTCCGGAAACCCCCAGACAAATTCAACAGAGTTTCAAAAGTTTAGGGCATATGGAGGTGTTACCAAACAAGAACCAGAAGGAATCGTAATTGGTCATGGTACATAGCGGTATATACTTCTTCAGGCATACATGACCACCAGACGTGGAGCTTTCCAAGGTTCAGTTTCTTGGCCTCCGAAGCCCAAGGCCCAAAGCCGGGTTAGCAACTTAGGGTGTGGGATGATTCAGGCTTTGAGGTTCAGGATTTAGGATTACGTGTTTAGGGTGCAGGATTTTACGGTTTTAACAGGGGTTCTCCTTGCGGGCCTGTGCTCCTGCGCCAGATGCAGATACTGCGAAACCTTGACCTAAGTGCTACAACGAACATAAACTCAAGTCTGCAACGACGTATATGAACTAATTACCTTAGTCACGACCCTAAGCCCTACCTTAAACCCCTGAACACTAAACTCAAACCCTAAGCCCTGAACCCAAAGATCCAAGTGTCGATTTGAGGTAAAGCATCAGCGAAATCGCCTGCAGCGTCTTCCCGAGACCCATGTCGTCGGCCAAGATGCATCCCAAGCCGTTGCGTGCATTGTTCCTTGGTAGTGTCGCCTTAAAAATCAGAATAGGTTTTTAACAGGGCAATGTATGGGGCTTTCTGGGGATTGTTTTCTTGGCCATATTAGGCCAAAGAAAAAAGGTCGGCTTGGGCTACATGCCTATCGTCTCCAAACATTGTCTTCTATAAACTTTAAACCCCTAAACCCCTAAACCCCTAAACCCCTTAACCCCTAACCCTAACCCCTAAACCCCTAAACCCCTAACCCCTAAACCCCTAAACCCCTAAACCCTGAACCCTAAACCGACGGATTCTGATCAGTCGGACTTCCAGTGCGAGCCGAAGGGATGGTTGGGCGCTTGGGGTCTGGGGTTGTGGGGCAAAGGGATTCGGGGTTTCGGATTTAAGGGCTGGGGTTTAAGTTTAGGGTTTGGGGTTTCGGGTTTAGGGTTTCGGGCTTGGGGTTAGGGTTTCGCGGTACTTCGAGGTATAGCCCCAAACCCTCAACCCTAATGCATAGGATTCGGGGTTCCGGATTTTGGAGTCACAGCTTTGGGTCTCTTCCGTGGCTCCTCCTAAAATCCTTCACCTTCTGAGACCCGATTAAGGGTTTCGGGCTTCAGGTTTAGGATTCAGGGTTGAGGGTAGGATTCAAGGGGTAGACTGCAAGATCTGGGGAGCTTGGGTCTTGAAAAAACATGCATACGTGAGGCATGCTGCCCGTTATCAAGACTGTCCCTAAAGCAATCCTAAACCTCAAAAGGGTTAAGAAGACTTGACAAGACCCTGAAGAACCCCAAACCAAGCACCCCTAACCGATGAGCCCCAACCATCCCACCCGACAGAACGGCTTGATAAACGGGCCAGGGTACCTGAAACCTTTAAGACCTGCACGCCAGCTCCCCCACACCCCACACCCTCAACCGTAAACCCTGAGGGTGAAGAGTTTAGAGCCCTAACCCCATGACCCAGAACCCTCAACCTGAAATCCTAAGCTTTCAAGTAGACTGAGCAGACCTGCTGCCCTGTACCCTGAAGCCAAGCACAAAGCCTCGCTTGTCTCAACCGTCCGAGCCGCACCAGCCAGTGATAGCCGGTCAGCTGGTAAGGCCTCCCCACAGGGAAACCCAAGAAAACAGCTACAAAGGATTGCCGGGGGAAGGATGTGCGCATATCTGCCTTGAAAAAAGAGGAGGAGGAAAAAGCAGAAGATGATAGACTCCAGTTTGGAATTCACAACAGAAACAGACCATCCTCCGGAATGCATTTTCCAATTCACTCTGGAATTCACTCCGGAATGCAAAATAACTCAATAAAGAATTTCCAATCTTTCCTAAGCTGCGAATGTTGTAAAGCTAGAGCCCAGACAACCCAATCAGAGCCCAGACAACTCAATGCATTCCTTCCCGAAGCGACATAAATCATACACAGGAGCTATCTCGAAGTTGAGGAATCGATTTACAACTCAAGCCAACCAAGGAAGCCCGAAGCCTCCACATGTTCCTTTATTTAAGGCATATGGGCTCGCTGAATCGCTTTTTGATCGAATACCGCCCTGTAAAACCCAATAAAAGCCCTATGAAGCCGTACAACGCCTGTAGGCTTCATGATTTGAGGCCAACTTGTGGCCTCCAAAACCTACCCCCTTTCTACGGGAAAAGCAGGCTGAACACGGTCTTTACGATACAAAACGAGGGTCGGTAGCTCATGGGGGGTGGGGGGTTACCATATATGGTGATGTGTCGCGTGTCGGTACGTCGGTACCCCCCCCCCCCCCCTGGCATCCCCGTCCTCGCTTTTGTCTCAAAAATGCCAACAGTCACAGGGATGGGCCCCCCGAACCCGGGATTCTCGTGAGTGTTGTGCTTTTGAAGCTATGCAACTTCGTGGCATGTCCAAAGTGGCGACACTCACCTGGATGGGCCTGGTTTCGGTCTGCTGACCCTCAACCCTAAACCCTTTCATATCTATACACCTAAACCCTAAACAACTCCACCACCCACACCACAGGGAGGGTGCGGGTGACCCAACACCCACCAGCACACCACAGGGAGGGGGGAAGGGGGTTAAACGCTGGAACCCACAACCCACCACCACACCACACCACACCACAAGGGGGGGGGGGTCGGGCGACGTTGCACCATATATAAATATAGATATAAAAATAGATATAAATATAAATATGAATATAGACATAAACATAAACATAAATATAAATATAAGAGTATATATATATATATTATATATATATATGAAAATAGAAGCCATACTCAGGAACCCTAAAAAGGTAGGTTTTTCGGCGCTACAGAAAGGGTGTAATTTGGGGTTTATGGCTCTTGGGGTTTAGGCTTGTGTTTCGGGCTGTTGGGGTTCAGGGAAAAGGCTCTTTCCTGAAACCCTGGGCTTTAAACATCCTTAAACCGTATCCTGGAACTATCTGGAACTCAATCCCCAAACCTGAAACACGACACCCAACCTGGACCTTTATTCAACGAAATCAGACCAGCAAACCATGCAAAGTAGTTTATTCGGGTTCACGTAGACTCTATAATCATTCAACTCTCTATCCTAGATGCTTCACCTGACATAAACACTTGAAACCCGCCCAACAAGTTAAAACCCAAAGTGGCGCGAAAATCCCTGCAACACGAAACCTTAAAATCACAAACCCTCGAACCCCAAACCCGAAACTGGAAGCACAAAGCCTTTGTATTAAAGTTTGCATACTCAGAATAGGGTCTGGTGATTGGTTTTACTATACACTGTAGAAGGACGACATGAGAAACATATACATACCTGTAGCCGAAAAACCCTATCTCTTCAAGGTTCTTCATTGTGGCCTCTATACATAATTCCTGAAAAGCGTAGTTTTATGGTCTAGGGTTTATGGTTTAGGGTTCAGGGTTTGGTAGTACTTAGTACTACTAATCCCATAGATGAACCCCTTGAGTGCCTCAGCGAGTTCGCGACGCAGTTGGGCGGCGGAACCTCCTGGGCAGGTTGAAGGGCTCTCGGTGCTCTTGTGGGGATTAGGGTTTCCACGGTTTAGGGCTTTTTTTTTGAGGGCCCTTTTCGTCGCTTGCACTTCAAAGCCCGGTTGAGCAGGCCAAATCGGCTCCCTCGTGTACCTCCACTTCCAGGTTTAGGGTTTAGGGTTTAGGGTTTATGTTTAGGGTTTAGGGTTTTTTGTTCAGGGCCTTTTTCGTCGCTTGCGCTCCAAAGCCCATGCTGGGCAGGCTCTAGGACACCCTGTACATTGTCTCAGACGCTACCCTTCATCTGCAGCACACGACATTCACACGATTGACCCTCAGCTCAGCACACGTAGAACCACCCTCACCGTGGAGCTATCCAGGTCAAGCTGCACATCCCCTTCTTTCAACTCACCCTGCATCACCATGTCACTTGTATCCCCATCCATTTGTGTCACAACAGGGTTCTCGTTGACGACCTCATTGACGACCTGCACATTCCCCTCCGCATCCACACCACTGTCCCCGGCCACAGCTTCACCAGGCAGCGGCGCAACCGCTCCCAATCCTCCGATGGGTGCCACGGTGTCATCGTCAATTCCGTCCCGGGCCACCTGGGAAAAAGAGTCCTGGATAGTACCCTTCCGCCGTTCCGCATGGACTCGGTAGTATAGGGCACTGCCAAACTCAAGGATCAGCTCCAACTGTTGAACGAAGAACAGGTTTATGAGGTTGTGCAGCTGCTGTTGCAGGGACATGGTCCACGTGGAGGGTGACATGGAACTGGTCCATGTTTTGTGGGATTGGGGTCTAGGGTTTAGGGCTTACGATTTAGGGCTTAGGGTTAAGAGGTTTAGGGTTCAGGGCTTAAGGTTTACGGTCCAGGGTTTAGGGTGTAGAGCGTCGGTTTTAGGGCGTAGGGTTTCGGAGTACTACAAGGTGCCTCTAGAACCTATGCTGAGGTCTCAGGACTGGTCTTATGTTTCCCATACGGGACCTGTAACAAGTTCAGGGCCGAAACACTAAAATCAATCCCCCCAAACCTGATCCCTAAACCATCAGGGTTTACAGTAGCAGGTGCAGCTTCAGTAGCATTGGCAGTAGATAGTATATAAGATATACATAGGTTACATGTTATATATATATATATACATACATATATATATATATGTGTGTGTGTGTAGTATGTAATGTAATGTATAAGATATGATGTATAATGCTGCAGTGGTCATTTAAATGATCTTTCGTCCTGCCCTGGCATCACTGGGGCGCGACGACTCCCCGGTTGCGGGGGCACTCTCTGCGCTCACTGGCAAACCCAGAGAGCCCAATACCCCTTAATTACGGAATATACCTCAAATCATAATATTAAGGCCCCAAAACTTTAAGGTATATTCCTTGTTTAAGGGGTATTGGGCTGCCTCCAGCTCCTTCGCGGAGAACTTCACCTTGAGGTTGAAAGCCGACCCAGAGAGCCCAATACCCCTTAATTAAGGAATAGACCTTAAATCATAAATATTAAGGCCCCTAGAATTTAAGGTTATATTCCTTATGTAAGGGGTATTGGGCTCTCTGGGTACCACCAGCCTCAGCCCACTATCTCTGTCCCAGAGCCGAAAGCCTAAACGCGAAACGATGAGCCCCGAAGGCCTGAACCAAACCCCTACACTCTGAAACCCTAAAGCCTTACAGAACCCTTCAGTGAGCCCCGAACCATCGTAGAAAGAATCATGGAGCTCCAGCCGGGTTTTGGGTTTAGGGTTTAAGGTTTAGGGTTTAGGGTTTAGGGCTCTAGCTCAACATCCCTAGCTCGGGGGGTCCTCTTAGGTAGGTTCGATGCAGCAAACCAGGAATCCCTGCTGTTCAAACCCTAAACCCCAAACCCAGGAACCCAGTTTAGGGTTTAGGGTTTAGGGTTTCAAACCCTAAACCCTTGACCCAAATCTCGTGACCCCGTCCTTGGCGCGGATGATTCCAATCCTGGGAGGCGCTTACTCAGAAATGGAATTGTTAGAGGGTTTAGGGTTTAGAGTTCCGATCTCTATATCACTAGGATTTGGGGCTATGAGCACGATGCGGTTCTGGTCACACAGGCTTGTGGGTTGAATGTGGCTTCGCATGCAGAATTTCAGGTAGAGGGGTTGGGAGTAGGGAGCATCTGTGCTTTGCTGGTGCTGAAGAGGTTCAGGCTTTGGGAAAAGCGGGTTGCGAAACCCCAAACCTTCAGCCGGTGTTGACAGCCTTAGAAGGGCTGATTCTTCCTTGAGCTCATCATGCTGAAAGGCTGCTGAGCCTTCCCAGAGAGCCCAACACCCTTAATTAAGGAATATACCTTGAATCATAGTGTTAAGGCCCCTATGATTTCAGGTATATTCCTTACTTAAAGGGTATCGGGCTCTCTGGGTTTGTCATTCTCCGAGGCTTCCCCGAGCTTCTTGAGGCGTGGCCGCAAGCTTTTCTTGGCCAGCGCCGGAGACTCCAGGCTCCGGTTCATGCCATCGATGCTCGCCGGCGACATCGAGAGTTTCGGGTTTCGGGTTTAGGGGTTAGGGTTTAGGGTTTCGGGTTTAGGGTTTAGGGTTTCGGGTTTCGGGTCTAGGGTTTAGAGTTTCGCGCTGGAGCTGCTCTCATGGTCATAGCTGGGAGAGTGCCTCGCTTTAGGAAGCAAGGCATCGGCAGTGGCAAGAGCTCAGACAGTGCCTTACTACGGGGTTCAGAGTGCGGGGCTCAAGGCCTTAAGGGAACAAAACAAGCCTTGTCATTTAGGCCGCTATCTTACTTGGAACAGTTTAGCCCCAAGCCCTAAATCCAAAAAAAAAACACACCCAAACCCCGCACGCTGGGGCAGGCAAAGGCCCCTCCTAACGTACAAACGTGAGAAAGTCTACCTTCCGGAAATCCGAAACCCAACTTTGTCTTCCTCTTGACATTCAACCAGCGCAGCTTCAGCTGTTTGTTCTACTGCAAAAAAACATAGAGCATAGTCGAAGTAGAGTGGATCGGTAACTATGAAGTGCTGACGATCCAGCGTTGACGTTTAAGCTTCCTGCAAGTCCAGCCCACCTAAATCACCTAAACTCTGCCAAACATTGTAGGCTTCATATCGGGGCCTTGATTGTTGGAATAGGACCTGGGGCCATGTTGCAGCATAACTGAGTATATCATTGCGAAGTAGTCCGACGTCTGTGCTCGGATTTAGGGTGTAGGACCTACACCCACAAGTCCTGAGATCAGGAACCAGAGATATTTGTATTGCGCTCTGTGGGCAACTATCGCACAAAACACGCAAGAAACCCTACATGGCAGCGGGATATGGAGCCCGAAACCTCAAGTAATCACCCCCGTAGCCCGAAACGCCCTGAAGCCGAAGGACTCAAACCACTGCCAAAACCTGATCAAGAATCAAGACCCTATCAAAACCTGCAAATCCCTGAGACATCTGTCAACAACCCCTTATGAAGCCCTTGCCTTCTAAAGCCCATATCCGGCCCGTGTAAACCCCTTACACAACCCCATAATAATAAATCCCTTAACTCCTCATGGCAGTAACCCCCCTTTAAACGCCCCTATCAGCCTTTATCCTGAACCCTAAACCCTAAACCCCTAAACCCTAAACCCTAAACCCCGAATCCTGAAACGGAAAACCCGGAAACTTACCCAAAAGCTTCTCAGACGAGGCACTCCGGGGAGTCGAAAAAGGCTTGGACCTGATCCGCGGGATGCCAGAGAGACTTCGAAACGACCAGTGGGGCTTGTTGAGGGTTTCGGGTTTAGGGTTTCGGGTTTTGGGTTTAGGGTTTGGGGTTTAGGGTTGAGGGTTTGGGGTTGAGGGTTTTGGGGTTTTGGGTCATGGGGTTTAGGAAGCCGAAATTACAGCTTCTTGCACTTTTTTTGCTTTGCACACGCTCCGCTCGGTAGAATGGCTGGCAAACGTGGAGCAGGAGCTCCTTTAACCTGTTGGGGCACATAGAAAGGAATATTAGCCGGCCAACCCCTCGAACGGCGACGCCCCTTGAACAGAAGGGTTTAGGGTTTCGGGTTTAGGGTCACGAAGGTTTGGGCTTTAGGGTTTAAGTTTAGAGTTTAGAGAAGAGGTATTCAATCCCATGCATATAACCTAGAGAAGAGGTATTCAACCCCACAAAAATAGCCTACATTACGATCTTATGGTTGGCCTGACCCTGAACTTTAGGCCCCAAAAACGCCGAATCTCCTAACCTCCAAGCCCGAAACCTACAGCCCGTCAGCGCTGAAAATGGGACTCGAAAAGATGTTCCCACCCCCTCCCCCCTATCCTACACAACCTCGTGATGCTATCCCCTGGGTGCCTATATAATTGCACTCCGCTACCCTCTTCTAATCATGCAAACCTTAAACCCTATACCCTAAACCCTAATCCCCTAAACCCTGAAGCCCTAAACACTAAACCCTGAACCCCCCTTTAACCCGCGCTTCTCGCCCCCGGGTGGCCAAAGTGCAAAGGCGTCATCTGCACTGACGGCGGCGGCACCGGATGGCCCTGCAGCAGCGAGCCCTGTGACCGCCGTGGAGCACCGTGGAAGGCCATGAATTCTCGCGGCGCCACGGCCAAAGTGCAAAGGCGTCATCTGCTCTCGCAGCGGCGCCGCGCTTCTCACCCCCGGATGGCCAAAGCTGAGCGGCCGCAGGAGCTGTGCCCCGAAGGCCCGTCTTCGGAGATGGGCGCGGAGTTGTAGTTTCGAGGTGCAAGCTACGACGTTGGGCTTAGGGTGTTTTTGCGGTGCGTTCAAAGAGTTCTGTAATTTTGCGATAAGTGCACTATAGGTGTATGAGACCCTAAACCCTAAACCCTCAGTGGTTGGGGTCTAGGCTTTAGGCTTTGGGTTTTAGGGGTTACGGTATGGATGGCTCTGGCTTTGTCCTTCATTTACAGCGCCTTCCTCGTCAGGTTTTGGGCTTAGAAGGCTCGTTAGGTTGAAGAATTGCTAAGACCCAATGCCGTCAAGCGGCAGACAACATGGCTGCCCAATTTACGTACTCTGGCTGCTTCGGCATATTTGCGGGCTTAGGGTTCAGGGCAGAGAAGTGTTAGGGGTTCGTTCTAGAACTCTAATGTAAAAATTGCACCAAACCCGTTCTAGTCAGAAGGTCCCATAGTCAGGTTGGAAAAGCCGTAGAATGTCCCATAAATGCACGACTCAATTCTTGCATCATCTAACACACTTTTGTGACCAGAAGAACCTCGTTCCGACATGGCTGAGCTTGTAGATTCAGGCTTTCGGGCTCTGGGCTTGGGCCGTTTAGGGTTTAGGGTTTAGGGAGACCCCCAAGTAGGGATTAGGGCCGGAACCCTCGAACACCGAACCCGAAAATCGAAAAGAGACCTCCAACAAAAACCCGCAGGGCCTTATCGCTGAGCACAATGTTCTCCTGCTCTGGAATATCACAGACTGCTGCCCGAACGCAGCAAGCAGCTTCTACGAGAGTCTACCGCTGTTTATGGCCATTTTACTAAGTAGCCTACTCCTTTAAGCAGCATTGGGCTGAGCGACGGCTGGCTTTTGGCTTCGTGCTTCTAGGCTTGAGAATTTAGGGTTTAGGGTTTGGGTTTAGGCAGGTTTTCGGGGCGTGGCTTGCTCAGGATTTCATCGACTAAGAGCGCAAAGGCACAGCTTGGGGTAATAGGGGTCTGGGTTGGAGCTTGGAGTTTAGGATGGGCTTAGACGCCGAGCTACCATCAGGCTTCATAGTTCCGGGCTTTGGCGAAAAGACTTCAGGGTACACGATAAGAAACTTTTGGATGACAGGTGTGGAGGCTCTCAAACCTTCTAAAGAAACCTGATAGAAACCCTATAACAACCCTATAAACACCCGTTACAAACCCTATAAACACCCCCGAATAACACCGCGCACAGCGCTGGAATTTCTCCTACAAAACCCAAGGTCTAGTTGCCAAGGGTTCGGGCCCAGTGGAGGTTTATAACATGTAAGCAAATCCTCTGAGTCCAAGTTCAGGTTTCCGGGCTTACGGGTTACTGTTTAGAGGTTTAGGGTTTATAGGGTCTAGATTTTGGGTCTAGGGTTGGGAGCTCGGGAAAGCCACGAACCGGAAACCCCTAAACCCGACAGCTCTGATGCAATGCCTTCCTCTGTCTGCCTCGTATGTTGCACTCCGGACAACTGGAGGTGGGAACATAAGGAAACACACGAGCCTTCGTCGCGTGCCCCCTGTGCTCCGCGGACTACAAAACTTCGCGGAACTATTGGACGAGAATGGCAGGGGTAGTCCACACAGACAAAACAGAGAAAACACCGCAACACTGAACGATTGTAACACAAGCAATACTACCAGATTCCCTCGACATGCAGCCGTGCCTTTTGCAGCAGTCTGCACGTCCGCCGGTGGACATCCTCCCACCCTACCCTGGTATGATAACGTAGTAGAAGTCCGGAACATTTTGTAGCTACAATAAGAAATTAAGACCCCTATATTACGTTTATAGCGCTGTTAAAACTCACGGCGCATCTCACCGGTCGACATCGCCGGATCCCACGCCGACCACCCGAGCACCGGTTGGGTAGCTCACATCGTAGAGGATACCGCAGGTACCGCAGACCTCAGGGATTGGGGCTTTAGGGTCTGGGTCTTGGGTTTCTTAGGGTTTAGGGCTTAGGTTTAGGGTTTAGGGTTTGGGGTTTAGGGTTTCTTAGGGTTTAGGTTTTAGGGGTTTTGGGTTTAGGGTTTAGGGCTTGGGGAAGACACCTGGCGAATTACTCTACCTCAACCAACCAAAATAACCTACTTGTCTGCAGGGTCCCTAAAAATAAAGTCTATGTCCTATATCAGGGTTTTAAGCTACAAAAAAGGTAGGGTTTGGTAGGTTCAGGACTGGAAGATCCAGGCCTTCACCGGGGTATCTGGCTCGTTCTCGCACGCGCTGCCGTGGTGAGGCGTGCTGTCCATGCCGCAGTAGTTCTGGTCGTTCTGCCTGGCAGGTTGCTGGGGTTTAGGATTTAGGGCTTAAGGCTTATGTAACAGTTTAGGGTTTAGGGCTTAGGGTGTAGGGTGCCCGTAATATATAAACGGCCAGAACACGGGCCCTTTATGATGAGACGATGATACATCCACATACCCCCCCAAAGCACCACTCTAACAGTTTTTTTCAGGGCTCCTCATGCACCTCCCCTGAAAAATCAGGAACACACGTAAACGCCATGATACCTGTATTTATACAGGAGCAGAATACGCAGAATAACCTTAACAAATCATTGCAGCCTTAATGGCAACGACCGATCATGGTTACGGTCGCCTAATAATAATAAAGAAACAAATTCATAACAGTCATGGCAATAAGCAAAACAACAACAAGCATGATAATGAAACGAATACCAAAACAATACAGTAATAACCATAGTAAAACTCAGACAAACAGTGACAACGACCAGCTTCATGACGATGACAATAAAAATCAGCATAATCATAGCAACATGGAAGAAAATGAAACGAAAAGAACAAACTTGATCTTCGAGCTATTGCCTCTCCAGGCGGATGTAGCCGTTCTCGCCCCACGTCGCACCCCAGGAGTTGCGAACGGTCCAGTACATCCTCCGTCTGCAGAAACCCAACCCAAAGAAAGTTCGACTCTAAACCTTCAGGTTTAGGGTTTAGGGTGTAGGGTTTAGGGTTTAGGGTGAAGCCCAAAAAGTTCAAGCCTAAACCCTAAACAGTTCAACCCCTCAACCCTGGAGTCGGCAGCCGCCGAGAGTAAGTCCATAAAACCCGTAGGGTCTAGAGTTCCCCCAATGGCTGAAGCAAGCTTCTTGCCATCTTCTTCGCCGTAGCCCACGAGGCCCACAGCATGATCCTGGGTTTTGGGTGGACTCTCGGGTTTAGGGTCACCGTTTAGGGTTTAGGGTTTAGGGTTGAGGATCATGTAGGTTGGGATATCTACTAATAGAGCTCCCTCAGTGTCTGTGCATAGTGTTGCGACAGCTTTACCCCACACACAATGCTACCCCCTTATTATTTTCGGAAGTAGGGCTTATACCATAACATACCCCAAGCCATATTCTGGCTACTGTGGCCTCATGGTTGTCGGCAGTTAATCTTAACAAAGGCGTCTGAACAACTAGTGATATGGGTTCAGCATGTAGCGTGTGAACCAAAACTCTAAGCCCTAAACCCTAAACCGAAGTTAAGGAGGGGTACCTGGATCTAGGGTATAGGGCTTAGGGTTTAGAATTCAGAGTTTAGGCCTGAACCGCCTAAACCCTAAACCCAAAACCCTAAACCCACAACCCTAAACCATAAACCCGGGTTCAGGGTTTTGGGCTTAGGGTTTGCGGTTCAGGGTCTTGGGAGGTCCTGGATGTTGTTTTGTGTGGGTGGCGGAATTCAGCTTTAGGGTGTTGAGGTTTAGGCACTTATGGCTTTTTGTTTGAGGGTTTAGGGTTTTGGGTTTATTTAGGTTGAAGGTGAAAAGAGCCTAAACGGCGGCATCCTTTAGAGGCCGAGCATCGATGTCGACGTTCCCCGTGATGTCGCCTCGGTTTGCGGTGCGTTGGAATTCCGAGACCGTGAGATTCGACTGTGGTTCTTTTTAGCGCCTCCAAGGCTCGTAACAAGCTTTACAGGGTTTAACAAGAGCCCGAAGTGACGCGATGATGGCAATAGCACTAAGCTCGAAACCTTGAAGAAGCATGCATGGGGACCCCAGCGTAGTCCCAAGCCGTACCTGTTGCGGTCAAGCCCCAAACTCCCAATCGACCCACGACCCGGGGTAGACTCCCCGATCAAAAAACGAAGCTCGGTATAGCCTCGTTGTACGAGACCCTAAACCCTAAAGCCTAAACCAAATGTGTGTTTCTGTGACTCGTCGGCCTGGAACTTCCGAAACATTAGAATAAGATAGGATGCCCAATCCAAGGAAAGGGAATAGTGCAGACCCCCTGAATCATAAAGCCCCCCTGCCTTTTATAAGGATTCTAATTGGATCTACATTGAAGGGGCCCTTCAAGAAGAGTGGGGTTCATGAATCAGAGGTCTACACTCTTCCTTATAGGGCCGACCTGAAAAAAACATCAGAGGGCAAGGCCCTCCCCTAGTTTAGACCTGTTCATTTGCTTCGACGTCCCATCGGAAACACCAGAGACTCCTCAACCAACTCCAACTCCTGTCTACCCTACCCTAAACCCGGGACCCCAAACCCTAAACCCTTAACCCTAAACCCGTAACCGTTAACTCTAAACCCGAAAACCCTAAACACCTAAACTCCTAAACCCCTAAACCGTGCACTTGACGTAGTGTTTTGGACGGTAGAGTCTACGGTCTTCGGGATTTCAGGGTCTAAGGGATTGGAGTCCGGGGCCTAGGGCTTCAAGGGTCTTAGGCTTAGGGTTTCGGGTTTAGGGTTTAGGGTTTGGGGTTTGGTGTCTAGGGGGCGGAGCACAGGCGTTTCGAGGACTGCGGCGATGAAAGGCTGTAGCAAGTAGGGCGTCAGTCTCGAATTAAACTTGGGCAAGCCGTGCTTTCAATTGAGCATTTTTTGATTCCCTAAACCCGAACCCGAAACCCTAAACCCTGAACCACACTCAACACCCTGAACCGTAAACCCTACACGAACCCGAAGCACTGAAGCCTAAACCCCAAACCAGAAACCCAAAGCCCTAAACCCTAAACCTAAAGCCCCAAACCCTAAACCCGAAGAGACCAGTTGCAAGGGTTGGCGATGCCGGAGCTGTAAGGGCTCCAGCCCGAGGCATCCACCGAGATGGCGAGAGGGCCGTAGTTCACAATCGCGTGCATGACATCCTGGGGCAAACAGGTTTAGGATTTAGGGTTTGGGGGTTTTGGGGTTTTGGGGTTTAGGGATTTAGGGTTTGGGGTTTTAGGGTTTAGGGTTTAGATTTTGGGATCTTAGGGTTTAGGGTTTAGGGTTTTAGGGTTTCGGGTTTAGGGCTTAAGGCTTAGGGGTCCTTTGGGGTTTAGGGTAAACAGGGCTCTTTGGGTTTTAGCGGTCGGGCTCTGGGGCAGACAGGGTCCTTTTCATAAAAGGGTTCTATAAGGGCTACAACAGAGACTACTATACTTGTTCAGTATAAGGATCTCATATAGAGGCCTTAATCATGTCAATAGGTACTAGTATGGGAGACTATGCTCTAATTAAGCAGTCCTCAGCGCTTCATGAGTATATACTGCTGTAAAGTACGAGTAGCGTCTGTATGTGCATATAGCTGTTGCGATATTAGACCATGTTTCCGTTTTTTTGGTGGCTGGGTTTAGGGAGCATGGCCGCACACATGACAGCGTGGCCTTTACCGTTGCTGGTCTGAAGTTTGGGCCATTCCACATCCCAATGCCGAAACTCTAGATTGCAGGCTTCTGTGCTGTTGTGCATACACAAAGCAGCAGCACAGGGTTCAGGGCGAGG